GTGAACACAGGACAGGGACTGTCTGCAGCAGGGATGCCCTGAGTGTCTGCTGTGAGTCGGTGCTGTTCTAGATGCTCCTCTCAGTAGTCTCTGTCTTCTGTTTTAAAGGTAGGAAAATGGAATGAAACACTTTAGATTTTCAACAAAATGATTAAAATATATAAATCTCACTTCTTGACTTGTTGCTTCTTAAAGATTTGAATTTTTTGTTCCCATGGAGGAAGTAAAGAAGAGGTCACTAGATGTCGCAGTGAAAAACAGCAGGCCGCTGGGCTCCCACAGAAGGAAAGAACTAGGAAAAGTAAGTACAAGAGGGACTGCCGGTACTTTCCCTCCTGGTAGCTAACTGGACTTCACTGGTGGAACACACCCTTGCAGAAATTGATGGGCCATTATCAGAAGTGACTTCAAAGAAGGTACAGCCAGCCTCATTCAGAGGTTTTTTTGTTATATGTAATTTTAAAAAATATTTAAAAATATTCTTGAAGTAATGTATATAAATTAATATGATAAACCCTATTTTAAGAAACTCAAGAATATCGAAATTCATCATTACACAAGTATTTGAATCTTGACTAGGGTTTAACTATTGATTTGATAAATACAGCATTGTGTGAAGCTTGGGTCTCATTATGTCAAAGTTTTTGCAGTGAATGGGATTTTACTTAAGATAGAAGTAGAGGAAACACAATCCTCAGGAAGATGCCAAAGAGACAAAAAGAATGACCTTTGTACACTCTGTAGTTGTTATATTTTAATAAACACCTTCTTACACATTTTCTAAAACCCACTTCTCATTTTCACAGTGAGGCAACTACTGTGTCTTGCTTAAAATTCTGAATCAGTTACTGAGTAAAGGCAAGTTATTCTCTCTAAAATATACATAAATACCCGAGGTACAACTACAAGCAGCAGTTCACCTCTTCCCAGGGCACTGGGGCAGGGCCAGTACTGTCCTTCTGGAGAGGTTTCCATACTGAAAGCCAAGGAAAAAGAGCTCCTGCTCAAAACCCAACAGGGCCCTTTTTATGGTCAATATGTTTCCTTTTGGTGCAATTTTTGGGAAGGGAACTGACTATTTGTGTGTGTTTAGGTACTGATTGACTTATCAAAAGAAGATCTGATTAGGGGCTTCTCACAATGGTAAGTGAGCCTTTCATTTTATCACATTAATCTGCTACTCAAGTAAGACACTGTCTCAGATAGTTGCCATTTTCTCTCTCCAAAGTTCTTTCCTTTTCAGTACATTTCAGCACCTTTGTTTATCGAGGAGGGAGACAGATTATTACCTTTACTTAAGGCTTCCTGACTGCAGATTTCAGTTACCTACAGGACCTCTGCAAGCTCTAGTCTTAACCCCAGCTGGCCAGCTTACAGAAAGATGGGTTCTGCTGGTCCTACAGAAGCCCAGGCAGGACAGACTAGGCCGCTTTGTCCTCATGCTGCCACAGCAGGCTCTCAACATTAACTCAGGTCCAATCCCATCTCTTACAGGTATGAGCTGACTCCAGATGGACAGCCCAGAAGTTGATGATGAGCAACATTTATTACCTTTATATTAAAATGTGTACATATGTGTATTTTGTAATTTAAATCAGGACAGCCATTTGAAAATACATTTATATACATACATTCTTGCATGCAGTTTAACTGCATGACAAGATAGTATTAGGAAGAGATAAACACATGAAAGGCATCTCTTGGTTGGATTTAATTGTTTAAATCCAGAAAGAAATGGGGTATTAGTGCCTAGTAAATTACCAGCACCTGAGTGGTGAATTTTCGCTTTTGGTAATTACAGACAGTCTGACTTAGGACTTGCCTGAACGTATGCACCAAAAGGGTTCCTGTCTCCAGACACAGGGTGAGGGAGG